TCGTGATTTCATAATTCTGAAAAACATTTTTTTATAGCAAGTGAGTGGAAGTAACCCTGCTTGATATTGATTTTACAGTTATTCTCCCAATATGACTATTCACAACGTGCAAAAATCAAGCTGAGAGTTGACTCGACACAAAAATGATTCCGTTGCACATCGTGGGAAAGTATAGCTTGCTGTCTCTTTTTACTCTTCACCGATGGCAGACACGAAGTGATTGCTGCCAGCCGTTATGGGAGTTTCGATTGCGTTCGGGTGTATAGCAAAAATCATGAAAAATCAATCTCAGTTTGTTAAGATTTGCAGCTAGTGAGCAGGGTTGCTTCCACTCACTTGCTATAAAAAAATAATTTTCGGAATTATGCAATCATTAGATGATATAATGATATGTTGTACTTGTAAGTGACAAGAAGAGGGTGTAAAGTATGTGTTTGACTCATAAAACCTGTCAATTCCACTTTCAGAGCGTCACAATCAGCGATCTTATGATTCGTGAGCGTTCACTCAGAGTGAGCGCTCACGAGTCGTAAAATCGCTGATTGTGACGCACTGAAAGCAATATTGACAGATGTTATGTGTCAAATATACAATTCATGACCTCTTCTTGTAACTTACAAGTACTAATTAGCATTATACTATTTCATGATTTCATAATTCAGAAAAACATTTTTTTATAGCAAGTGAGTGGAAGTAACCCTGCTAGTGAGTTTTGTTAGCTTGATATTATGGACTGCGATCTCGGCGCCTAATACATAGGTGCCACAGTCGGAAGAAGTGTTAGTTTGTTTACTAAAATGAACCATGCCCATTTTGTTATGGCATGTTTGCTATAAGAAATGCGCCTCGTGTTTATTAGCGAATTTCACATCAAAGATTGATTAATTGAGTAGGAAATCAGTTTGGCACGGCATTTGTGAACAGCATACACCTTCCGGTAGTATGAAACAGGTCAAAAACTGTTCAAATCCGCAGATAAAATTTTTTGTTTTGAATTTCTGTATAGCAAAATAGTGAACTTTTCGTGAACATTAACGGCAAAGAACTCACCAACACTGGGAGACCGTGAGTTCCTGCCCACCTGTCATAAAACCGTCTTGGACTGCGATATCACAACTTGCAAAATCAACCGTTAACCGTGTTTGCTTGTTGATTTTTGTCTACGAAAATTAAGCGTGATCTTGAGCATTGGTGAGATTTATTTTTTTTTATATTTTTCCAACACTGCTTGAAAGTTATAAGAAGAGGTAGTGAAGTATGTGTTCGATACATAAAACCTGTCAATATTGCTTTCAGTGCGTCACAATCAGATATTGTACGATTCGTGAACGCTCACTCTGGAGAGGATACCTGTTAGAATTACCGATAGTGGCCTACCGTTGGTAGACTTCTACAGCGAAATGAATATTTGAGCTAGCCGACAAGTTAAAGAGTTATTGGATTGATATTAGAAGGCCTTTTAAACAAATTATGGCATTCTCGCATCAAACAAGTAGTATCCGTCAGATATTATAATAACTTTGATCATTTAGTCATTAGTTCGATAATCGTAGAGCATATTTGAGGTATTATTTTTTGGTATTTCACCTCTTATGTCAGGCTCACCACATTTAAGTTGCCAGCTATGTTGTTATCATCCGGGTTGCTTCCACTCATTTGCTATAAAAATGTTTTTCGGAATTATTAGATGTTATTATGATATGCAGGGTTGTTTCCACTCACTTGCTATAAAAAAAATATTTTTGGCAATTATGCAATCATTAGATGTTATAATGCTATGTTGCACTTGTAAGTATCAAGAAGAGGGTGTAAACTATGTATTTGACTCATGAAACCGGTCAATTTCGCTTTGAGAGCGTCACAATCAGCGATCTTATGATTCGTGAGCATTCACTCAGAGTGAGCGCTCACGAGTCGTAAAATCGCTGATTATGGCGCACTGAAAGCAATATCGACAGATTTTATGTGTCAAACATATACTTCATGACCTTTTCTTGTAACTTACAAGTACTAATTAGCATTAAACTATTTCAAGATTACATAATTCCAAAAAACATTTTTTTTATAGCAATTGAGTGGAAGTAACCCTGATGATATGTTGTACTTGTAAGTTAAAATAAGAGGTTGTAAAATATGTCTTTGATACATGAAAGCTGTCAATTTCGCTTTCAGAGTGTTACAACCAGCGATTTTATGATTCGTGAGCGTTCATTCAGAGTCGCTCGCTAGTCGTAAAATCGCTGATTATAACTATCTGAAAGTAAATTAAACAGGATTTATGTTTCATACACATGCCTTTCAACCTCTTCGTGTACCTAACAAGTACAAAGTATAACATCTAATGATTCCAAAATTCCGAAAATATTTTTTTATAGCAAGTAAATGGAAGCAAGCCTAGCTATCATACCTGATGTTGGTATTCATAAGATATTTTCTTGTGCTCGGGTAGGGTAGCTTCGAGAAAATTTAACGGACTTTACAGAAGTTCAAAGATGCTCTGGAAATTTACGAAAGCTTTAGCAATGTTCGGAGATCTTCAAGGACGACCAGATAACTTCAAAAAAGTTTAATTATCTTCATGCAGTTTAATTGTTGTCAAGGATTCTCCTAGTATTTCGAGGAAGGTCAGAGAACTTCAGAGCAATTCCATTAATTAAACGCAGGAAAGATGATATCATGGAATATTCCGAGAAATTCATGAATGTTCCAAAATTAAATAGCTGGAAAGTTTGTGAAAATAACAGTAGTTTCAAAAAAATAGGGATCTTTGGGGATATTCAAAAATTACGCAGGAAGTTCTATGAGCTTCAAGAAAATGCCAAAAACATCAGGAAAATTGTGAGAGCTTCAGGACTAAAATTTCTTAGAAATTCAGTGATGTCTAGAGAATATTATTGAAGTTCAGAGATCTTTAGGGCAGTTCCAATTAGAGGTGGGCAAAACAGCTCATCTAGCTGAGTGGATCAAACCCATTCATCTCACTAAAGGGAGTCGATTCTTTTGAATAGCTCTTCAGCTCACATTAAAATTATAGAAATTATGACACAAATTCAAAATCGGAAAATTAATTTGTGGTTTTAGTGCACAAAACTGCATAAAATCGTAAAGTAGTCTAAACCAATAAATCCGTACCTTATAATATGGCACTACTTTTCAATGGAAAACGTCAATAACGCAACAACTGATCAACCATCACGTAAACCAAAATGCGCGCAAAGTGTGCCAACAACATATCAGTAAAAGCAAAAAATGTATGCGAGAGAACTACACCTATATGTCACACGCGATGATATGATTCACATCGTGGTACACGATGTTACGCCTTTTCTCAAGCTATGCAATCCAGTCTACATACAGATTTTATTTCTGTTGTTATTTCTTCAGCAGAATTTCTCTCACTATTATCGGCTTCAACTACTACAGCTCATCAGCTCAGATCCGAATCCAGAGCTGAATCGTGAAGAATCGAGAGAGAAAAAAAGATCCGAAGAGCTGGACGGGTCCGAGAGTTGTCAACAGCTCCCAGTGAATTATTCGAGTAGATGATTCGGATCCGGAGCTGAGCTGATAAGCTGGAGAGCTGCATTTCGCTTTTTGGTTATTTGTTTTGTGTGGATATTCCTCTCCTCTAGGAACGATGGGAGGAGAGGTGAGAGCACATATGCTGGAGGAATAACATCAGCAATAAGAGCTGGGTACATAAATAAATTGGATAAGACCAGTAGAAAATTAACATCACGTAGCACATGTGCATACTATTAGAATTTGTTTATTATTCAGTTCCAACCTGGACCGGGTATCAAGATTGGATCTACTTGTTTTCTGACAAACGTCAGTTTGATCGTTTGTTTTCAAAACCTACCTCAGATTGAGGTTCGCACTGACAAACAGTTCGGTTTCGCACTGATAATAAACAAATTAGCTATTTGTCTCTCTCTCCCAAACAGCCGCTTGGAAGTTTGCTTTTACCATTGGTGCTGTCGATCAGTAGGCACATGGTGTATTACGCTTGCGTCTTGGTTTACGCGGTGACTATTCAATGCGTAAGTGGAGTAATGAGTCCTTTTTTGAAAAGTTCCGCTATGAATGATGGATTGAATGGTTTAAACTTGTGATATCAGTGAGCTGATGAGCTGCGGTTCCTAAAAAATGAACCGCGGGTCATCGGCTCACTTTAGATAATCGGGTCTATAGAACTGCTCGGGAGCGGATTGCCCATCTCTAGTTCCAATCACTACAGGGTATCACCAAAAACTTCAGGAAAGTTTAAATATTCGGATTTTTAGTCATCAAGAAAAAGTGTTGATTTTAGTGTCATCGTCAACGTTTCGATCCAGAGGATGCGATCTTCACCAGGATTAGTTTTAGTTTAAGATCGCAAAAATGTTTACGCTGATTAAAAGACTGTGCAATTGTATATCCCCTGAAGAAGGCTGTGTGCAAAATCCAAAACGTCTTTCATAAAACAGCGTTGCAGTTTGATCCACCGTTTTACTCCAATATCCAAACAATTAAGTATTTTTAAATTTTATGGCGATTATGACAGCTGATAAACAAGTTTACCCGTACTCTATTTTTAAGAAGAGGGTACTAATTTCTGCCTATATTCCGAAATTTCAATCATGGTCGCACATACAAAAAATCAGTTAGTAACCTGCTCAAAGCTTACTTAGTAAAAAGATCGCACCTGCATGCGAAACGAGAGGCAAAACTGGAGCATTTTCTCAGCCAGTTAATTAATTTATCCGAGACTCGTTGCGTACTGAATGAATGGGAAATGCTGGTGCAATCTGGTGGTTAAAACGTGTGGCCGTGAACCATGAACTGCTTTCATCTCCTTGGTTTATTTTACCAACAGCGGGAAAGCCATTTCGTTCCCAGAAGGAGCAACATTTTCTGCTCTAAATGAAAGTTAATTAGCGCCGTTGACAGCGGCGTGTGACTTTTATCACCTTTGATTTTTCATTTCTGTAAACAAATAGAAAAGGTAAGTAACTTACGTCCGATCCACGTGCCCAGTTGGCAACGACGGTGTTGCAGTGCATGGCTTGCATGCGGAAGCAGGCCTGGCCCCGTTGCCGGGACAGCATTTCGTAGTCCTTCGACAAGCCTTGGCACTCGTACAGGATCATGTGGTTCAGGTAGAGCACGCTGGTGGATGAATCGAACACGGGTTCGTACTGAAACGAGAGAGAGATAGATTGTAATTAGCAGATAATTCTCCTTCGCTCGAATATAAATCATGGTAACATTTTTCATCCTGAGCACCCCAGATTCGCGTAAAGTTGAACCGTTTAACTAAATGTCCCTCTTTCTTGATAATCCCAAATCAATTTCAAACGCAACCGTAACCTTCCTACCTATCCGAGACTCCCTTCTCGGGGAAAGGAAATGAAATTTTTACAACTTTCTTATCTTTCCGTTTACATTTTTTGTTCGTTTTTCGCCGATCGCTGTTTCCTCCGAGCCGCAACCGCACACAAATCTATGCCCATTTTTCTTTCTCCTCCGGAGAGTTGCCTTCTGATGTTTCTTTTCGACAAGCAGCCTGAGAAAAATATTCACTCCCAGACACAAACCGACAACTTTTGCGGGCAATCCTACATATCTCGTGCGCCATTTTTATCTTCGACACTCGCCCGTCGATTTCCACCACCTTTTCTCCTACCCGACTTCGACTCTCATTGCAAACGTCACGAGGTGGGTCTCCGAGTCTGAGTACAGCCAGCTCTGCAGAAGAAGGAGGCAGAAAATCTTCCAAGTGGAGCATCATATATCACTGTAATGACGGCGGAAATTGGAAGTATACACATCCATTCCGTCTCTGTCACTATCAAATTTATACACATTATAAATAAATTTTCTCGACTCCTTCGTACGTGGAGGCTGCAGTCGAGGGAAGAAAATCCTTCAAAGTTGCTATCATTGCAAGTTCTTCTCCGAGGCTTGTTTGGCTTGTTCAAGATGAAGAAAGTGAAGTGAAACAAGATGAAGTTTCGTTTCGAGAAGGGGTGGAAAAAAATGGCAAAAGATTCCACCGAGTCTTGGTTTCAGGAAATCGAACGACAAGGTTTTTTTTTTCGGGGAGATAAAATAAAAATGAATTGGCACCAGCAGATCTTACGCCGGAAGGAGTTGAACCGGAAAGTGTCTTAATGAATATGTGAATGTATCGGTTGAAAGGAGTTTCAGAATGGGCGAGCAACTAGCGTTGGCAACTGAAAGGGTGCTAGAGATTGACCGAATGGAATGTGATTGAAATTGGATTTCATTTTTTTGTATGGGTTCAGAAGTTTCAACCGCACTGAGATGTTGGGTATGGAACAAATTTTGAAACGTTGTTAGTTGTGTCTTAAGAAGAAAAATGGACAAGGGAGTTTTCGAACGCCCATGCAGATTAATATGTGCTAACTACTAATCAGGAGAAATATTCTGTGTTCATCCATATTTAATCTGATCCCTTAAGGGAACTTCTTTAACGTTCAACAAATCAAAAGCAGTTTTCTTGTTCAAAACCAAATGTACGTTCTTGAAAACGTGATCATTGCATTCTATTTACCTACCGAAACACAGTGAACACATTTTCATTGACAGAATTTTGGGTTAAAATGAAAAAAAAAAAAAACTGAATTTGAATTTCCAAAACTCAATGATGGCCTGCCTTTAAATGTGGAATGAAAATATTACATATTCAGGAAAAACCATACGCTTGATCAAATACCCGGCTTAAAATGAAAAATTAAAAAAGTTTTGCACTTATCAGATATAATGGCAAAGTCAATGTTCGAAGCTTGTATCGAAATAAATTTCAACAAGAATGATGAAAATATAAATTTACTATCGGTACAATAGGACCAAAAAATGGCACACTTACCCTTGCTATTGTTTCAAAGATCTATCATAAAATCAAATCTATACGTATTCTATCAAAGTGTGCGTAGTGTACTGTTCAGAATTGAAATAGACTAAAATTGAATTTACCTTTTAAACCCCATGCACTTTATAACCGTGCAGTACTAAAGTAGGGACATATCTCTCTATAAATCGCTGTTATCTCTTCTTATCATCGTTCCGAATGATCGGGCGAACGAACGTTCGGATGTTTGTAGAGTTTTACTCATAGCTATTCTCTGTACACCTCATATAACCAGTACACAAGAGCCAGATCAGTTAGTTGCAAATAAACAAGCAAATCGTATGCATCCACTCCTATATCTCTGTCGGATATTGAAGCGAGCAATAAAGAAAACTCATTCTCTTACACTAAGACCGGACCAAATTAGTTTCTTTTTCGTACACCATGCACATGATGGGTGCGTATCATCTTTCCCTCAAGTTGATTAACTTTTCAATCGATTATCCCGTAGGAAAATCATTTTTCACTTCCGTAGGTGATCTACCATCCCAACAATGCGAATAAGTTGTTTGAGTCAATATGTTTTTTTTCCCCATCGCGACACCGTGATGCGACTGGTCCTCCCACTACAACTCGTCATCAGATTTCCCTTCAGATTTTGTCACGTTCTCGTTTCAAATAAATGGAACGGAATTGATTTGGAAATCCACGGAAAAACTTTCACCTCCACACATATCCGCATATCCCCACATATCCTCATGGGAACGAAGGATGACTCGTTTGTTTTCATATACATCAAGCCATCATCATCAATATTGTCATCGTCGTCGTTCGTCGTTGGTGGTAGGAAGTCTCCGCATTCATACACTTATGTGCTCATGCTGCTGCCAAGTGCCGTTTCCGTTCGGCTTCCTATCGAGCAGCATTTTTCAATTTTGATCTCTCCGTTGTGTCGCCCAAATCGATTCCTGCACGTTCACATCTTCATTTATGCAAATTAACCCAAACGACAAGGATGGTGATGATGATGATGATGACGAAGACGATTGAGTTAGATCATTGAACACAGGGAACCTCTTTTTTGCCACAGTCCACACAGATGAACTGATAGCTGTTTACGATTCCAATAAACTACTCCTGTTCTTATCTAGTTTCGCCTATTTTCCTTTTTCCATCATCTCTTCATTTTGAATCAGGACGTCGTCATCGTCGTCGGATGGTTGCAAAACGAACCAGACGCAGCAGTGCGAGCGATGATCAATCTTTTCGTTCCTGAAGCAACAGCAACAACAGCCAAGAAGATCTCTATCCGGTTTTCTATTCAACGAAAAACCCCGTTCGGTTATCAGCTAGCTTTATCTGCCGAGTAGACTTGAATCGAACTGAAAGCCTTATAGCCGTGCGAAACTTTCGGGATATGGTTCTTTGTCGGCGCTTCGTTCATGCCCTCGAACAGCTAGTCTGTATGGTAGTAACATTCTCTCACACACACCGATATTATCTGCTTCTGCCCTTGGAGGAAAACTTCAAGCTAACAAGATTTCCCTCCTTTCCCACTCGAAGCCACCACAAGTCCAAAAGACGATTGCAAAAGAAATCCGGCTGACAAAACTTCCTCTTAGCTATCTAAGACTGGAACGTATGCAACCCAACTCTTTTGCAAGCCCCGAGCGAATCTGCGTTTGTGTGTTTGTCTATTCCCGAACTAGCAACACCGGCATTGAAAGGATTACAGAAAATTTCTAATTAAATTGAAAGAAGTCGGAAATATTTACAATCCCACAGCCACAAACGGGAAGCGTATGTAACCGTGAATATTCGAGTGCGAGCAGAGTCGGTCGGTAGTAAGCCTTGCGGAGGTTTGTACCGTTCGGGACAAACATTCGCCGACTTGGTTGGCTGGCCTCGGTGTGATGGGTGAAGCAATAACATGTTTCTGTGGCGACAAGTGCACAAGTTTCTAAGCGGAAAGATGCCCTGCGGTTTGGTGCTTTATCAGTTTCGCATTGCGTTACGTGTTGGCTCTCGGGCTACGGGTTGGAAGGAAGCTACGCGTCGAGCATTGGCGTAGCCTGATGGGGGTGCCTAGGGGGGACTGGACCCTCTTAGAATTACGTGGACGTTCCCTAGAAGAAGGTCAGTACATTTTCACGCTTTAACACCACATTTTTTTCGATGTCCTGAAAATTAAAAATTGACATAATTTACTGTAAAATCTTCGTTGCATGCTATGGTCCAAGAATAGTTTTCAGATCTTATTTTAAGAATTTTTCAATAGGTTAGCCATTATGTGTAGTTTTGAAATTATAATCTTTTTAAAATATTTTTGACGTAATATTACGTAACATATTGGGAGTACAACAAAAAAAAATCGACCACGTTACGCAGAGTGGTCAGGTTTTGACGACTTATTACTCTGTCAATATCACATGGATTTTAATTCTAAACAAAACAAATCGATGGGAAATTTTCTACAAATCTGCTAAAATGAACACTTTATCGATTTTTAAAAGGTCACGTTTGAAAACTACACAAATAACCAACTTTTGAAATGGTGATCAAAATTATCACTGATTGCCTGCAAACAGTGCTTTCCCTAACACAGATTTCAAAATCGAATTCCATCCGGTCTCGCCGAACACTGTTTATTCCATCACCGCGTGTGGTGAGTGGTGGTGCCCGGTCGTCATCAGCATCAACAGCAGCAGTGCTCTAGGGGCGTGGCGTTGAACATTGTTCTCCAGTATACAAGGAATTTACCGACGAATTAGGAAGAAACCGCACCGCTACTGATCGGATTCAGTAGCTCTTCGTGAGTCGCTGTGGGCAATCTATGCCAAGCACGTTACCTCGTTCCAAACAACATACAGCTCGCCAGCCTCATCTGTGTTGAAAACCCTAATAGATCAGCATTATTCAACCATCACGACAGAACGGTCCTTTTCAGGATCACCATTAATTTGTTAAAGAGTATTTACTAGACATATGTCCAATTCAACAATCGGATGTCAGTTCCCATAAGTTTAAATTTAACATACCATGTGTTTTTAAGGCAACAATGGGGGTGCAATTTCAAAAACTAAAGTCGGTTGCGATATGAAAGTGGTCTGATTTTGATCCAGCGATGATGAATTTTAATTCTGAATACACCAATCGAAAGAAAATTTTTCTACAAGTTTGTTAAAATTAAGACTATATCAATTTTCAAAAGGTTGCTATTGAAAATTGCTCGAATGTGCAACTGTTACTATGGTATTTAAAATTATCACCGATAGCCTGCGAAAAGCGCTTTCTCTAACACAGATTTCAAAGTTGAATTCCAGC